ATATATTATATATAATATATGCCTGGAGATATAACTTAGTGTGAAGGCCCTCAGCTCAATCCCTAGTACCACAAAAGCAAACAAAACCCAGAGAATGTCTTCCTCCCTTTCTTTCTGTTTCCTCCCTTACAAGTATTGCCAATGGCTGTGATGGTGTTGCTATGGCCAGTGGCATACTATTTATACTAACTCTGCCCAAAATGAGAGTCATCTTATAGTTTGACTTTAGTTCACTAGATTTCTCTTAGGATTGGGAGCAAAGCGCTAGCTAGTTGAAAAATATCCTTGTCTTGATCATTCTCTCATGGATATATTTTTGTTTGAGACTTTACATGAAGAATTTAACCTAAGTGCTTTCTAGATTCTCTGCATACAAACCATTCATGACACCATATTAACAGCACATACTTATTCTCTGTTCATTAACTAATTGCCCTACATTCCCTCACCTGCCAGGACTGGAGAAATGAGGATAGCCAGGATTCGGATGTTGGCTCTCTGACCTCTCCAATGCTGAATGCAGACTCATCCATTTGCACTAATTTCTCTACACTGGCTAGATGACCTGGGTTTGTAACTGCCTCTCTTGACTGCCATTCCTCACTTGTAAAATGAGGTCAATGAATCAGGTGTTTTCCACAGTCATTTCTATTGAGCAACCTGTAATCCTTCTTGTTTTTGTAAATGAAGCCCAGCTGGAGCTTGGCCCAGGGGAACTATTAGAGAATGGAGCAGGTGTTGAGGCTGGGAGGAGAGATGGCATTTCACAAAGGGAGAACGCTGCCCACCCCAAAACAGGGCCACTACTGTATTTGTAAAATTGGACTCTCAACTCCAGAGCTCTCTTTTTTATTGAGTTTCTGGGTTCCCAAGGGATGCCTAACTGAGTGGCAGGCTTTACCAGGGTGTCTATATGCCCTCCCACAGACTACATCTTGGAAGAGGCCTTTCCAGAGCCTGCTGCCTCTGGAAATAAATCCACAGTAGGTAGTTTTCACTCCACACCCCACAGTGCATAAACTGAGCACAATCATCTCTAACTGCTGGCTGTCACCATGACTATTGCCTTTCTGAGCCACTGTATAAATACCAGTTTCGTGCCCTCTGTGGTTCTCCTTTACTTCTTGTCCAGCTTGGGAAATGTCCTGTCCATCTCTCATGTCCTTGGCCAACATACTATTCTCTCTCTGCTCTTGGCCCTGGCTGCATACTGCCTCATTTCAGCATCAGGTCAGCACAGCCAGTATGAATGGAAGGGACCTTGGCGTAGGTGTTTGGGGATCAATGGCACAGCCAACTCATTACCAGAGGCTTTGCTTTCTCACTGACCATGGAAAGCAGACCAGGCACATCACAAAGGATCCTGAGAATGATAGCAAGTCTCAACAGATTGGACCCCAGCCTCTGATTTTATGCGAGTCAAATCTACTTGCTTAGTAGTGCCAGATCTATCTGACTTTGTGCCACATGGCATCTTGCTTCTCTTGAAAGGGTTTACAATTAACACAGAAGTGGAAATCCCTTTGGTTCTAA